TTTTTTTCATTTTGCTTCATTTTCTTTGAACATCCGACCAGTTCTTTATGCCCTAAGTAACTGTAAAATGCCTGTCAAAATATGTTTCTACATTGTCAAAGTGCTTAGATAATTTATCAGTGCCATTTTTTTGCCCCCTCCTGTAGACTTCCCTAATTTACTCTTCCTGTCAGAACTGGTTGTTCTTTCTTGTCCTAAGACTTCTCTTTGCCATCATCTTGGGATTTCTTTTTCTTTTCTCCTGTGTTAGATCCTGTTTCCTGGATCTTAGGTCTTGTGTCTATCTTGATTTTCTACCTTGTTCTGACGGTGCACATCTTCCAGTATACATACTTTTTAGTGTTTCCAACCTTTCTGAGACAGGGTGCATCTGAGGTAATATTTTTGAGCTCTTGAGTGTCTGAAACTGCCTTTATTCTCACTTCAGATTTAATGGGCCGTTTAGCTGGCGGATGGGGTGGGGTAGAGGTGGAATTCTAGTTTGAAAGTACTGGCTTGTAAATGTTAGTTTTTCTCAATATTTGCTTACCAATAAATTGGGTACTTAGGCAGGTAGACTATAATCAGTAATCATTAGCATCTATTTAATGATTAATTTTATGCATCTTTATGAGCCAGTGCTTACTTTTTGAAGAAAATTTTTGTACATAGTATTGTACATAGTATTTGTCTTAGTCATCTAGTGGTGCTATAAAAGAAATACAAGAAGTAGATGGCTTTAACAAAGAGAAATTTATTTCTTCACAGTAAAGTAGGTTGTAAGTCCAAATTCAGGGCATCATGTCCAGGGGAAGGCTTTCTCTGTTGGCTCTGGAGGAAGGTCCTTCTCATCAATCTTCCCCTGGACTAGAAGCTTCTCTGCACAAGAACCCCGGGTCCAAAGGACGCTCTCAGCTCCCAGCACTGCTTTCTTGGTGGTATGAGGTCCCCAACTCTCTGCTTGCTTCCCTTTCCTTTAATCTCTTGTAAGATAAAAGGTGGTACAGGCCACACCCCAGGGAAACTCCCTTTACATTGGATCAGTGATAACCTTAGTAAGGGTGTTACAATCCCACCGTACTCCTCTTTAACATAAAATTACAAACACAGAATGGAGGTCAGTCAGACAATACTGGGAATCATGGCCCAGCCAAATTGATACATATATTTTTTGGGGGGCGGGTACAAAATTCAATCTATGACAGTATTCTGCCAAGTTTAGATTATCTACATTGTGTAAATTTTCCTCCATACCAAATATCGCTTTCAAGCGTGGTCTAGAATTGAATGGAAAAATGAACTCAGTTCTAGTTTGGTTTGAAAATTTTTAATTTAAATATTATTTTTAGTAAAAATTATCACCAAAATCAAACTTGTTTTTTTCTTATTTAAGTAATAAGCATTTAAAGCCAACTACTATTATAAATCTATAAGATATAATTTTACTATTACGATAGAATTCCCATGTCTAAGAAAAAAGAAACGAATGTTGTAAATTACTAATTATATCAGAGAGTCAAAACAATTAATTACTTCTTTAAGACCATTTCTACTTTGCTTCCAAAAATCATTTATGGTAGCTCTAGTAAAGTGTACAGAGGCAGGAAAATTGAGAATCACCAATACAAGAGCAAGAAGACAAGAGCCTAGTAACAAATGGTGCCTCTTTGAGAAAAGGAAATTGTTAGAGAAATTTTAGGTTGACTGAAGGTACTCTAATTAAGTACCAGATTTTGTTGTAACCTTTTCTGGAAGCGAAACCAGACCAATGGGTCTGTGCCTGGTGTACAAGAATCCAATCTCTCAGACACTGTTTTTGAGAGGAAGAAAGAGTTTATTTCTCAGGCTAGCAAGCAGGAACTCAGAGGTATCGACCTCAGATTGAGTTCTTCGATTTGAGGAAGATTCACATTTTATAATTATACATATTCATATAGGGATGGACGAAGGCAGTGAGCAGGATCAGGAAGTTCTAATATTCATAGTTTCTGTTGGTTATTCATTATGAGGTGGGGCTAAGACTTGGCATGAAAGGTAGGCCGACGGACTCTTCGCTTTTGAAATGGGCTCAGCTACTGCAGATGACGTATGTCTGGTGATTTGGGTTCCTTGACATGAGTCTTTTCGTTCCTTGACGTGAGTTCTCTTGTTTTACAGAGCATGCATGGTGGCCCGAGGTTGTCTGTCAGTCATTTTTATCTGTTCTGTGCATGTCTGACCATTCTGAGCCAGTTAGATCTGGACCCATTTGGGGCTCCCCAGAGGGTCTACAAAACAGCTTAGTTGGGGAGGTGACTAGACGTGGCCTGATAACCGATGGAGTACTAATTAATTAGGTGTCTTCAACCTCTAGGGTCTCCTGACAAGCTGAATAAAAAATATCCTCTTGTTCCATGTGAAGTCTTATTAAATAAAATGCTTCTCAAAATACGTACTTTTTGATAGACAACAGTTTTTTTTTAATTTTTCATAATTGTTTTGATTCCTTGTGTTCATGTCATGATGACCTTCCTACGTTTGTGTGATGTATATTGAATATTAACTGAAAGTTAGGAGATACTGGTTTTAGTTTTAGCTTTGTTATGGGTGAAGGGGATTAGGGGACTTAAATTTGTTGGGTGCCAGGCATTGTGCTACATGCTGCTTGTATATTATCTCATCTGATTTCCCCAACCCCCTGAGAGATATAATTATTATATTCATTTTGGAGATAAGACAAAGGAATGTTAGAGAGGATAAATAGATTTGAATCCTAGCCATAAATAAGTCCTTTGGGCTTCAGTTTTCTCTTCTATAAAAAGGGAATGATAGTGATGTCAATAACAGCAAGCGCTGAATTTCACCCAAGGAATAGAAGCAATGAGAAGAGAATATCCACAGTTTCCTTTTAGTAGATCTTTCAGCTGACTTATGTATGCCCAAATAACTACTTTTCCTCCCATTTTAGATAGATAACCTGTTCTTACTCTTTTCTAAGACCCGCCTCTCCACTTCTGAAGGAGCTCACATCCCTTTCTGTCTACACAGCTCTCCTCTCCTGCATCCTTTTTTTCTCTCCACCAGATTATACAAATCAGCATACAGATATTCTATAATGTCTACTATTTAAAAAGAATTTTTTTCCCATTTATCCGCATTCCTTTAAGCAAAACTTTAGATCTAAAGAGTTGTGTATACTCATTGACTCTGCTTCCTCTCTTCCCCTTTTCTCTTGAGCTCACAGGCTTTCATCTCTACCGTTACTCTGAAACCATCATATTAAGGTCACCATTGACTTCCTTGTCACTGAAATCTGTGGTGTTCTCAGTCCTAATTTTACTCAGCCTCTTAACAGTATTTGACACAGTTACCCCCGTTTCTCTTGGGACACTTTCTTCATTTTACTTCCAAGATCCCACTCTCTCCTGAGTTCTTTCCTCTTTCATTGACTGCTGCTTCCCAGTCTCCTTTACTCTGTCTTCCTTTTTCCAGCCTCTAAATGTTGGAGTGATCACTTGGTCAGTTCTCTAACTAGTTTCTTTTTTTTAGCTACACTTATTCTGCAGGTGAATACCTGGTCTCAAGATTTAAGTATCATTCCTATTGTATATTTCTTGCCCCAGGTATTCTCCTGGACTCCAAACTTAAATATTCTACTACTTACCTGGATACCTCCACTTGGATGTCTACTACTAAATATGTCAAGACTGAACTCTCAATTTCCATTCTAAATCTATTAGTCTCCTTTCACCACTTTTGTAAGTACAACCCAGTTGCAAAGGCATGGAATCCTCTTTTCCCTTACATTTCACATCTAGTTTATCAGTAAATTCTATCAGGGTTATTCTCAAAATGTATAGTGAATCTGACCATTTTCACGTCTCCACTCTTATCACTCTAGTCCAAACCACCATCTTCTCTTGTCCACATCCTTACAATAACCTCCTAACTGGCATCCCAGCTTCCACTCCCTTCATCCATCCCATTCAGTGGTGTGTTAGAGTCGGCTTGTACTGGCTTGTGAGAGCTGATGCTGTGCATCTCTTCCTAAGTTCATATTTAGTGACATCATGTTGGTAGGTTGAAATTAGCCATGGTAGTAGTTTTTACACCACAGACATCAGCAAACACTACAAATCAGGGCTACCTTTATCCTTTACCAGCATAACACTGACCGTTCCCCCTCTCTCTCCCACCTCCGCGTATTCTACCCAGAGAAACCAGAGTGGTCCTTTGACAACATAAGTCATGTCATTTGACTGTCTTGTCAAAACTCTGATGGCTTTCCATTAATCTCAGAGTAAATCCAAAGCCTTTATGGTAACCCGAGAGCCCTGTGTAATCTGCCTCTGTGCTGGCACATAGTAGGCACCAGGTACATCTTTGTTATATGGGTAGGTGGATGGATGCATGACTTGTTTCTATACTATCTTGGTAATCTACAATGTGAGGTCTATTAATAATTTTATTTTTCAAATAATGGAAAAGATACCCTTTCTTAAGGTTTTCTGATTGACTGACATTTAAATTCATTTTTAAATTTCCAGAACCTCAGACAGAAGCCTGTTTAAATATAGGTATAAGAATATATTCTAAAGTGAAATGCCAGTAAGGTTTTGAATTTCTGTTGCAAGTATGTAGTTCACTGTTTTTTCATTATCATAAGTAATTAAATGTGAATTTAGTATATTTTTAGAAGAATATTTTGAAAACGTAATTCCAGAATATGAATGTTTTGAATGTAAAGAAATATAATGCTTATGAAACTTTTGTTTGTGTGTCGTTCTGTTGCCAAATTAATTAGATACTTACTTGTGGTAGTGCATGTTTTCTGTTTGAATATTTTTTTGGGGAGGGGTCACAGTAAATACAGTGGCAGTTGTATGTTAAATCCTAGTCTAGTTGGGTGTTGGTGGTTATCAGATTTATTTGTTAATTTCCAGATATTGTGGTTGTAAAATAACAATGTGGATAGTCTCATAGTCAGATACTGTTAAGATGTTAATAAATGTAAATAGGAAATATCTTCTTTTGCTTTATAGGGTATATTTCAGAAATCGCTGGGTAAAGACTGTCCACCCAGTTGTGCATCAGTACTGTTTGATCTCAAGCGCACATTCCACCTTTCAGATGCCACAGAAAGAAGATATTCTTAAACATCGAGTGGTTGTTGTTACATTGAATACTTCCCAGTACCTCTGTCAGTTGGACCTTGAACCTGGTATGCTGACTCAGGACACAGTTATGGTGGCTCACAGGCTTACAGGTTATATATTCAGTTCAGACCAGGGGTTGGCAAATCTATAGTCCATGGTCCAAATCTGGCTTGCTGCCTATTTTTGTAAATAAAGTTTTATTGGAACACAGCCATTCTTGCCCATTTATTTACTGATTTATCTATGACTACTGCTTTTGTGCAGCTAAGTTGGGTAGTTGCAACAGAGATCGTGGGTTCCACAAAGCCTAAAATATGTACTATTTGGCCCTGTACAGAAAAAGTTTGCTAACCCCTAGTTTAGACATTTTAGTAACTGCTGTTTCATTTGTTCTCTAATTGGTCAGGAAGTATTTACTGTTGATCATGTGAAAGATTAAAATTTGAACAGTGCTAGTGTTTTCTATAATTTTCTCAAGCTTTTGCATTATATAATGTAGAGACAGCAATCATGATAGGGTTTTTTTATGACAAATTATTAAGGTTATTATATTTAAGTACAGGCACTGTGTAAAATAAAATAGTATTGTGAGAAGGACAGATAAGATGCCAAGAAGGTGTTCTGATAAATATGGCAGAACTTAACCATCAGAAAGTGGTATAACTTTAAAGTAGTTACTTTGGAAGAATATTCATTTATTACTGCCATATTATGATTGTTGATGTGGCTCAACACTTTTTTGCTCTCTCCTTTTAGAATTGCTTTCAGAGCCAGTGACAAATTCTTTAGAACATCTGAGTCCCTGGAAGGTAGAGACTGTTCTCTTCACCTTGTATTTCTGGCACCTGGCCCAGGGTATAGACACCTGGAGGCCCTTGATAAACTTCTGTTTATCTTAAATGAATGAATCGTGGCCAAACTTTCCTTTTAGAGGGTAGATTTAATTTTAGAAAAGCTTCAGAATCTTTCTGAGCTGTGTCTGGTGAATATGGTAGGTGGTCAAGCAGTGTGATACCATTAGGGGTTAAAAAAAAAAAGAGATGTGCCTCTTCTATAAGGAGACGGCGTACTTTCTGGAGCACGTGGCTCATAGTTGGCTCATGAGGGCAGTTACAAAAGCAGAGTTTCAAAACTATTTTTGAACAGAGGCAGCATCATTGGAATGAGTTATATTTCCTCTCAAGTGACTTCTTTGAATGGAACAACATTTTTTTGAAATGTAAATTTTGGTATGTTTATTTAAAAATCAGTCTCATTACTTTATAGTCTGCATTTTTTGCAACATAGATTAAAAACCCATACCTCCTAAACAGTATAGTTATGTGACAAAGATTAAAAAATGACTTTGAATGGAAAGAGTATAAAATAATAATATTCATTGGAAGTTGACTATGTGCTTTATTCCTGATGTTTTAAATACTTATTTCGTTTAGTTCTCTGATCAACCCCATTGAGGATTATTTTACAGATAAGAAAGCCAAGACTTAGGCTAACTCAGTTTGATTAATTCAAGTTACCTTTACTAGCTTAAGCAGTAGCCATAACAGTTTCATGATTTATGCAGTTCCTGATGCAAGCCTAGCTCTATTTAATTAAAATATTATCTAATGTAATTACTGGATTGATTTCACTAGTTTGTTTTTTTCCTGTTTGATCCTATGCTTATATAGTTGTCTTCCTTAATTAGTCTTGTGGAACAAAAGTGCAAAGGCTCCTCAACAAGGAGAAAAGTGCGTGTGTTTATATTGCGCTTGGGCCACGGTTGGTAAATAGGCAACAGCTATTAACTAGTTTATTAATTCTTGTACTGTCAGCCATAGCCATTTGTTGGAATGGATAATGATGATGATGATGATGGTTCTTTCTGCCAGCGAGTAAGATTTAGAAAGTTCCCAACCTAAGAGCAAGTTGTATTAGAAAATTGTATAAACAGTTTGGAACTTGTTGCTATTAATAGAAAGAGAGGTTAGGGTCCAGGGTCAACTCACAGAAGGCTGATAAGTTAGTAATACCACTAGATTCTAGGGAACTAGTTCCTTTATAACTTGCTGCTCTGTTGAGAAGCTACTTTGTGTCTTTTGTTCTGCTAGTGAGAGGAGAACCCTCGCTGTCTCCCCCAGTGAGTTGGCAGTAGAGGAGACCTCCTCCTCCACACTGAGACAGCAAGGATTGTGCCTCTCTTCTCCCTCTTATGGGCCGAGGGGCTTTCTTCTCCTTCCTGCACAGCCTGTCCCCCAACACAGCAGAGCCCCGTGCCCCAGTTGTGAGTGGCAGCAGCAGCCAAGCCATGAGATGGCTTCACTGGAGGTGTTTGCATCTGGGGACATTTGATAATGCACAGTTTTGACATTTGTTATCAGCCACTGTTTTTGCAGAGGAGCGATTTTTCAGCTAGTGTAGGGCCTTACACAAAAATGATAAAATATAAACAATCAAATTAATGAATTTGTTAATACTCTTTGTTTTTAATCCAAGTTGGATTTTTTTAAATTAGGAATTTGCCTGAAATAACATTTTTCTATACACTATAACTTTCTCCTCTACATTAGATTATGGGTACGATTGTCTTTATTTTAAAGTCTAATATACATGTTTGGGTTTAAGTCATTTGTAAACTATCATTGTTTTATTTTTAGTGTTTCACCAAATAAGTATTGAAAGAATTTGGGGGCTGTCAATGTTTAGTTGCCAGCCTCTCTTTTTGGTCAAAACTTCGTCTTGTGCTTTTAAATCTTTTCTGTATATACTGATTCAGCTGTTAGTCTTTGGACACTTAGCATTAGATGCCATTCACGATCTGTTATTGAGTGAAGTAATTTTTTTTTAGCCTCTATTTTTTAAATATTGATTTAAATCAACAGTTGTCTAAACTGAGTGTTAGTATTAAAAGTACTTTAAACTCTTAAATTCCTTAGCAGAAAAGAAACAACTACTCCTATCTTAATTGCTGCTTTATTGTGTTTACACTGTACTTTCTAGGGTTTTTTACACACATTCTGTTAGATGAAGCTGCACAGGCCATGGAGTGTGAAACCATTATGCCTCTAGCATTAGCAACTACAAACACTCGGATTGTCCTGGCTGGAGACCACATGCAGGTGTGTGCTCCCTGAATCATCAGGTTAAAAGTAATTTTTAAATGTATCTTGGTGTTTAATATTCTGTTTCTTAGAATGTTCTATGAAACTGTACCATACATTGCAGTTTGAGTATTTTAAATGTGTGTGTACTAATAGTGAAAAACATTGGTATTTCTGAAGGAAAATTACTGTTCCACCACTCCTTTTTTCTTCTTTGTTTAGATAGGCAGTTTGGAATGAATGAAAGTTTATTATTGTTAAAATTTTCAAGTTTATAAAATAAAATTTAAATTAGTATCCTACAGTTTGCCCACTCCTGTCTCTAATATTTGTTTTCCTGAAGGGTTAGCTTTTCAGTGTCATCAGAAGTGAAGTACTTAATTAAAAATAATAGTAAAAATCCCAAAGAACACGTCTGATTTTATGTGTTTGAATACCTATGTATAAGAAAGAGAAAGTGAATTTTTCTATTAAAATATATACTTTACAAAGTTGCAATTGGGAGTCCTTTCCACCACAGTTGATTAAGATTGCATCTACATAGCATTGTAAGCTTTTAAGGCATCCAGGAAAGAGCTGAATACAGAGAAACAAATTCTGCTTTTGTTTCTTTGCCGAAACAGTTCAATCTTGTTCTGTAGTAAAAGGCATAACCAAGAATGGCTTCCTATACTTTATGAGATAAAGAGAGTTATTTTGCTAATTAAAAATGATTCTTTTTAGTAGTAGATGGTATGTCCTGCCATCTTGTCATTTTAAATAGTTGACCATTTCTAGTGAAATAAGTAATGTGACTTCTTGTCCCTACCAATAATACAATGGGTTGCATCCCTAAAATTACAGCAGTAGTAGCTAATATTATGTTAAAGGAACTCTTTTTTAATCTATATGTAGAAATTCTTGGTTAGCGTTGGTATACTGTAATGAAAAAGTTAAAAATTTTAGCCTAGTTCTTCATAGCAGTAAAATTGTTCATAGAAAATATTCTTGATACTGATTACTCCAACATTCACCATATTGAGATTTAGTACATCACAGGTTTCAGCTTGCAGAATTTTTCTTAAGTAGGTTAAAAACTACTGTTTGTATATGTAGTTAAATTTTCTCTGTATGTTTGTCTGTTACAGCTCAGTCCTTTTGTTTACAGCGAGTTTGCTAGGGAGAGAAACCTTCACGTCTCATTACTTGATCGACTCTACGAACACTACCCTGCTGAGTTTCCCTGTAGGATCCTCCTCTGTGAGAACTACCGCTCGCATGAAGCTATCATCAAGTAGGTGTGAGCTGCCCACTTCGTGTCACATTTCCTGTGGTCTGATGGGAGAGAACCCAGAATGACGCTGTTACTGGGGACAGATTATTCCCAACAGAGTTACATGGAATCCCTAGTGTTGCAAATTATGTTTAATTTTATGTTTTTAAAAGAGCACTTCAAAAGTCAGAGCTGTAAATTTTCACGAAATAGGGCAATTCTGGAAACTAAAATTTTAGGTTCTACTAGTTTGTCGTACTGTGGGGGCTTGTGTGTTGCTGTGATGCTGGAAGCTATGCCACCAGTATCCAAATACCAGCAGGGTCACCCACGGCAGACAGGTTTCAGCTGAGCTTCCAGACTAAGACAGACTAGGAAGAAGGCCTGGAGATCTACTTCTGAAAATTAGCCAATGAAAACCATATGGATCACAACACAATATAGTGCCGGAAGATGAGACCCTCAGGTTGGAAGGCACTCAACATATGACTGGGGAAGAGCTGCCTCCTCAAAGTAGACTCCACCTTAATGATGTGGATGGGGTCAAGCTTTCGGGACCTTCATTTGCTGATGCGACACAACTCAAAATGAAAAACAGCTGCAAACATCCATTAATAATCGGAAACTGGAATGTATGAAGTGTGAATCTAGGAAAATTGGAAATCATCAAAAATGAAGTGGAATGCATAAGGATTGATATCCTAGGCATTAGTGAGCTGAAATGGACTGCTTTTGGTCATTTTGAATCGGACAATCATGTTGACTATGCCGGGAATGCAACTTGAAAAGGAATGCCATTGGATTCATCGTCAGAAAGAACATTTGAAGATCTATTCTTAAGTACAGCACTGTCAGTGATAGGATAATATCCATAAGCCTACAAGGAAGACCAGTTAATATGACTATTATTCAAATTTACACACCAACCACTAAGGCCAAAGATGAAGAAATTGAAGATTTTTACCAAACATTTGCAGTTTGAAATTGATCGAACTTGCAGTCAGGATGCACTGATAATTAATGGTAATTGGAATGCAAAAATTGGAAACAAAGAATGATCGGTAGTTGGAAAATACGGCCTTGGTGATAGAAACAGTGCCGGAGATTGCATGACTGAATTTTGCAAGACCAACAACTTCTTCACTGCAAATACATTTTTCATCAACATAAACGGCTACTATACACGTGGACCTCGCCAGATGGAGTACACAGAAATCAGATCGACTACATCTGTGGAAAGAGATGATGGAAAGGCTCAATATCATCAGTTAGGACAAGGCCGGGGGCTGACTGCAGATCAGATCATCAATTACTCATCTGCAAGTTCAAGTTGAAACTGAAGAAAATTAGAACAAGTCCATGAGAGCCCAAGTACAACCTTGAGTATATCCCACCTGACTTTAGAGACCATCTCAAGAATAGATTTGACACGCTGAACACTAATGACCGCAGACCAGACCAGTTGTGGATTATGCCTATTCCCAAGAAAGGTGATCCAACTGAATGTGGAAATTATCGAACAGTATCATTAATCTCACATACAAGCCAAAATTTTGCTGAAGATCATTCAAAAGCGGCTACAGCAGTGTATCGACAGGGAACTGCTAGAAATTCAAGCCGGATTTAGAAGAGAATGTGGAACCAGGGGTATCATCGCTGATGTCAGATGGATCCTGGCTGAAGGCACAGAATATCAGAAAGATGTTTACCTGTGTTTTATTGACTATGCGAAGGCATTCGACTGTGTGGATCATAATATACCACATGGATAATATTGCAGAGAATGGGAATTCCAGAACACTTAATTGTGCTCATGAGAAATCTGTACATGGATCAGGAGGCAGTTGTTCAAACAGAACAAGGGGATACTGCATGGTTTAAAGTCAGGAAAAGTGTGTGTCAGAGTTGTATCCTTTCACCATACCTATTCAATCTGTATGCTGAGCAAATAATCTGGAAGCTGGTCTATATGAAGAACACAGCATCAGGATTGGAGGAAGACTCATTAACAACCTGATTTATGCAGATGACACAACCTTGCTTGCTGAAAGTGAAGAGGACTTGAAGCCCTTACTGATGAAGATCAAAGACCACAGCCTTCAGTATGGATTACACCTCAACATAAAGAAAACAGAAATCCTTACAACTGGACCAATAAGCAACATCATGATAAACGGAGAAAAGATTGAGGTTGTCAAGGATTTCATTTTACTTGGATCCATAATCAACACCTACGGAAGCAGCAGTCAAGAAATCAAAAGGCGTATTGCATTGGGCAAATCTGCTGCAAAAGACCTCTTTAACGTGTTGGAAAGCAAAGATGTCACCTTGAGGACTAAGGTGCGCCTGACCCAAGCCATGGTGTTTCAGTGGCCTCATATGTATGCGGAAGCTGGACAGTGAATAAAAAAGACCGAGGAAAAATTGACGCCTTTGAATTGTGGTGTTGGCGAAGAATATTGAATATACCATGGACTGCCAAAATATGGAACAAATCTGTCTTGGAAGAAGTACAACCAGAATGCTCCTTAGAAGCAAGGATGGAAAGACTATGTCTCACATACTTTGGACATGTTATCAGAAGGGATCAGTCCCTGGAGGAGGACATTATGCTTGGTAGAGGGTCAGCGAAAAAGAGGACGACCCTCAAGGAGATAGATTGACACAGTGGCTGGACCAGTGGGCTCAAGCATAGCAACAATTGTGATGATGGCACAGGACCGGGAGGTGTTTTGTTCTGTTGTGCATAGGATCACTATGAGTCGGAAACAACTGGGCAGCATCTAACAACAACAACGGTTATGACACATATTTTTTTGTGACTCAATATATAATCTATATGAAAAACCAAATGCTATAATAAATATATTGACAAACGACATGATGGCTTGCTTGTGGTCTCTGTGTTATACAAAGAATCTGTTTTAAAAGGAAGGAAGGAAAAAGGAAAAACTATGAAACTTAGTAATAAAGTTATTTAAGGTTTCTATTAAATATAGTATGCATCTATATAAGTGAACAGCTCAGCAAATAGTCACAAACTCAAAGAACCATGGAACCAAAGAAACAACATTACCAGCACTTTGGAAAGCCCGCTTGTATTCCTGACCAGTCACAACCCGCCACCAGAAACTTAGCAGTTTTTAAAGTTTAGTATAATTTAACAATATTGATTACATCCATCATGTGAAAACCATTTTTAGATTTTTCTGAAAGCACTTGGATAGATATAAAAATAAATTTAGTTTTAGCTATGGCTTTTATCAATATCTCAGAAATGTGATTCCTCTTTTATTGTTGCCGGTTATTTGCTGCAGTCAAGTACTAGATGGTATCTTAATCAGTAAACTGCCAGACAGTTGAAGACTTGAATGTCCTTCAGTTGTGTGCATAGCTTCAGTGTTTATTTATCTATGGTTTATATGTGTAAGTATATGATATACATAAATAAAAATATGTATTAACCAGGAAAATGTACTGGCTAGCAAATTTCCTTATATAGCAAGGTTTTCATCTGGTATCAAACTGTCAGTGTTTCTTTTCTTTCTATATCTGGCTTCATACCTTACCACAGTCGATCCATTTAGCAATGGTATATCAAGTGTCTACTCTGTTATTATTGCTGTGGTTATTTTTGGAGAAGATCCTGGTATCATAAATATTAGATATTTGGATTAAAATTAATCACGTGCATGAAGCAACATTATTAGAATTGACTTTGATAATTTCTTTTGGTGGATGAAACTAATTTTGATGGTAGACTACTATTCTTTTTTTTTTTTTTGTCTTTTTCTGCAGCTACACTTCTGAGCTTTTCTATGAAGGCAAACTGATGGCCAGTGGAAAGCAGCCAGCACACAAGGATTTCTACCCACTGACTTTCTTCACAGCACGAGGGGAAGATGTACAAGAAAAAAATAGCACAGCTTTTTATAATAATGCAGAGGTACCTTCGTTCCTTTTGCAAATTGTTAACATTTTCACAAGCAGACAGCCTGGTCTTACTGAGCATTTACTTAAAATTTTGGGTTGACATTTTATTGTGTGTTGACTTCATTTACATGAAGATAGTATGTAAAGTTTATTTTTTCTTGTGTAACATTGATCTTTTAAGATGACTCTCCTACAGGAAACAAAAACTTTTAAGTTCAGAGAGAATGTGGGTAGTATGAGGGGGCAGATCAGGCAGTAAGCAAAAACATGATGAAGTCTTTCAGAGGATCAAAAAAAAAAAACCAAACCTGTTGCTGTTTAGTCCATTTCGACTCATAGCGACCCCGTAGGACAAGGTAGAATTGCCCTGTAGGGTTTCCAAGGAGCAGCTGGTGGATTTGAACTGCTGGCCTTTTGGTTACCAGCCAAGCTCTTAACCACTGTGCCACCAGGGCTCCCTTTAGAAGACAGCAGGCCTGAAACCCAGGATTAAGTTTCTAGTGGTCATAAGGGAATTGAGTTGTGGAATCAGGAAACCTGGAGGGCTGGGGCATGGTTGATCTTTAGGAGAATGTTTCTTTCTCTCTGATCTCCACTTCCCTTTATTCCCTTAGTCCCATGCTTTACTCATTTTATTTACAGAGAAATGGCTTTTATTACGTGATGGTAATTATCTTTTCTTTTAAAAATTGATTAGAGATCTGTAGTTAGAAGTCAGTATGAGAGAATCGGCGGTATCCAATCTTGATACAATTCTAGCCAAAAGCAAAGAAACTTGACATGTTAGTTAGTCTATGCCATTTAATTTTTAGAAAAGGTAAGATTTTCTTTAAATAGTTGAAATATTGAGAGTACCTCTAGGGTCTCCTTTATTGCTTTTGCACTCAGGTTAGAAACCACTGGCCTGGGAACTAGGAGTCCAGCCATGCTGAGAGGTACAGGTGGGGGCCTGAAATCCAGAAGTCTTGGTGGTCCTGCTGGGACACCAGGGATCAGAGGTGAGCCCTGAGCTTGATCCCCAGGCAGGGTTGATGTTTGTCAGAGGCTTTCCCAGGAAGCTGCAAAGCTATAGGATAAATAAAATACATCTTCCTGGACTGTCAATTTTACTCAAATGTGTGAGAAAATATTTTTCATATTAAGCATAAAGATAAAATTTGTGCGACTTTAAATACTAAATGCGTAACTTTAGAGAAATTTCAGGCCACCTTGAGTTTTACCAGCAGAGCATGGCTGTTCATTCTCTTTAGCTGTGTGAGTTACTGTGGTCAAAAAGTTAGAGATACGTTGCGTCAGGGATTCTTTCTCCAGGATCTACTGATCCTTCTTCACTGCAGCTGGTAGAGAAGCTCTAGGTCTTCTTTGAGCTGAGAGGAGAAGCGTTTGGGTTTACAGGTAAGGTTTTCCAAAGTTTTGAATAGCAATGTAGGTGTATTTTGATGATAAAAATGTTTTTAGAAACTCTCAGCTTTTCTTGGGTTTATGGAAAAGATTGGAAACTCAGATCTGTTTTATGTTCTAGAGCAAGAAAAGCAAGTGGCACTAGTTATACTTTTTAGGAAAATGAGAACTCTCCTTTCATAAAGCTTCTGACTAAAATTTAGGAAGGCATACTGAGATTCGAGAATAGTTTAGAATCCATTATTGTGAAAAATAAGATAGTCTTAGACAGAGTTACAACCAAAATGAATTTAAAACAGACAATGGAATTAAAGGTAAAATGAAAGAAACTGGAGCTGAAGGAATACAGCATTTTTGCTTTTTATAATTCTTCTTTGTTTAGCGAACATGTTTTTATTTTATACCATTTGCTTTGTACATCACCTGAACTTGTGTCTTCTCTGGCCTGCTTAAAATGGGATAATGAAAGCAAGTGAGAAAGGTCATCCATTTTTTTCTTGATTCTGAATTCACATCCCATAATAATGAACCCTTCTTAAAATATAATGCTGGTTGAAGAAAAGCAGAATATTAAATAATAAGCAACAAGGCATGATTTTTAACCTTGAGAAATTCAGTCTAAAGGGAGGAGCTGTAGAGCCAAATAATCATGTGATAATGTGATAAATGGGAGGTAGACAGGATTATACAAATGCCAAAAATGAATCTGTCAGGTTTTGTGGGTTCTATGGCATAGAGTACTCTGTCCTGTAAGGTCGCTATGAGTTGGAATCAACCCGATGGCAACAGGTTTTAATGAGTGACATAGAGGAGAACAGAGTTTTGGCCTCATATATTTTGGGACTCTTGTTTGGTGTGTATATGTTTATAATCATTATATCTTCCTGATAGACTGACCTTTTTATCGTCATAAAATGTCCCTCTTTATCTCTGATAACATCTTGTGGTTTTTAAAGTCCATTTTGTCTACAGTATAGCCACTATGGAGCCCTGGTGGCGCTGTGGTTAAGTGTTTGGCTGCTAATCAAAAGGTTGGTAGTCCTAATCCACCAGCCTCTTTTTGGAAACCCTGTGGGGCAGTTCTGCCCTGTTCTGTAGGGTCTCTACGAGTCGGAATCGCCTTGACGGCACCAAGTTTTACAGCCACTATATTAGTGTAGCCACTCCAGCTCACTTATGGTTGCTGTTTGCATGGTGTACCTTTTTACATAATTTTACTTTCATCTTGTTTGTATCCTTAAATCTTAATTGTGTCCTCTGTAGTCAGTATGGGAGCCCTGGTGGTGCGGCGATTAAGAGCTGTGGCTGCTAACCAAAAGGTCGGCATTTTGAGTTCACCAGCCGCTCCTTGGAAACCCTATGGGGCAGTTCTACTCTTCCCTATAGGATCGTTATGAGTCAGAATCAACTTGGCAGCAGCGGGATGGGTAGTTAGTATATTGTTGGCCTTGTTTTTGTTTTTCTTTTAATCTAGTCTGACAATCTCTGCCCTTTGAGTCAGCTTTTTATTCTTCATTGTGGTAGACTCAGTGCTACCTTTCTTGTTCCTTGTATTGAGAGCACCACATCTTTAGTCCAGTTTGCTCTTCTGAATCCTTGAACTGTCTGTATATCTGATGCGCTTACTGTTCTGTCATTATAACAGTAGGGCAACTGGAGTCTTTATCATTTATCAGATTTGTATCTGTAAGTGGGAACTGCATCCTGATGAGGAATCCTCAAGTTTTCGGAAGGACTAAAGACTGTCAAATTTTATTAAGCATATTTAACGTTATATATTCAAATAGACATTATTAATAGAAATCAATAACGTATTTTTAAAAATATCTTTTTAAATTTCTCCTTCCCCTATACCCCCCTAGACTCTTGCCTGACCCTCTGTTGAGCTTGCCTTATTTATTTATTTTAATTAGAAATTTGTTTTCTAAATAGTAGTCTCTTAGCAGGCAAGGAATATGTTTTATTAATCTTTATATTCCTGAACACTGAAACTGCTTGATCAATTTATTGGATTAAAATGGATCAAACTACACTAAAAAAACTTTACCATAATCAAATAAGTGAGTCTAAAAAGTTCAGTTGTGTAAAGTATGGTGTTACTTTTTTGCAGTGTTAATGTATGGCTGGGACAAGCTTGCACAGCTAGAAGGCTGGGAGTTCTGGGAGTCTGTTTCTCTGATCCACATTTGTCCTTGTCCCAGTTGTGGTTTGGTGCCAGCTGATGGCTGTTGGCTGCTCTGCTTAGTCATGTCAGTAAGGTTGGGGGGAGGGCGCAGTGCTAGATTTTGTGCCAGTGGTGCTTCGTGGTGGCACTGATTCTAGGAATCTCTTAGTTAGTTGGTTAGTTTTAGTGGCCTGATCTGGAGAGAGTGGACTGAGAATACTGGGGATGTGGGGACTCGCTTCCCTGTTTCCCTAGGTGAGGTTGCCAGTTTCATGGCCCTGTCCTTGCCTTCCTGCCTACATAGGAACTTGAGCCTTTCGACATTTAAGAATGGGAACATTAAGGATGGAGGCCAATTACCAATTACATTGTCTGTGATTTTCATGTTTTCACTGGGTGCATTATCATAGGATTTCACTGTTCAAAATGTAAATAAATTGTTTTATTCTGTGTTCACATCAGCAAAGCATTATTCCTGTTTAGAGGTAGTTTTTGAAATGACATTTGCTAAAATGAGATCCTTTACACATCCATTTCAGTTACCATATTTTTTCCTTCAGACACTGGCATTAACTTTAGTACATGTGTATGTATGTTTATTTAAAGGTATTTGAAGTGGTGGAACGTGTAGAAGAGTTAAGAAGGAAGTGGCCAGTAGCATGGGGGAAATTAGATGATGGCAGTATTGGTGTGGTGACTCCGTATGCTGATCAAGTGTTTAGGATACGTGCTGAACTTCGGAAAAAGAGATTATCCGATGTTAATGTAGAAAGGGTGCTAAATGTTCAAGGTAAGTACTAATCGAAATGAATTAAGTAATTTAAATGCTTAAATCTTATAATGTGTTTAAATTTGATTTTTAATTCTTAGGATCTTTTTTCTGGACAAGCAATTATGTATTCATTTCACACCAAGTGCTTTAATGTCAAATTTTGCAATTAAAGGTCAAGCTTGTTTGCATTCTTATTAAATTTTTATATCCAAATGAAAGAAATATAAACAAATGGACTTTTCAATTACTGTAATTGTATAAATGCCACACAGTATCTATATGCTATAGTCATAGTAGCATGCAATGTATACTATTGTATCTGAGGACTAATTGTTCATAAAGATGTTTTTAAACTTTGACTGCAGTGCGAATTCTGTTCAAATGCATTTTTAAAGGCACAGTTTGTGATTTTCATCTATCCTGTTGCTGTAAAGTTGATTCCGACTCGTAGACTTCCCTAAATGAATAGTTACCAGCAACTCTTTTAAATTGTCTTCATGTAATTAATTACTATAAAATTTGTGCTTTAAATATATGAAACAGCACTATGTTTTGAGAGCTCAAAAAGCCCAATACAAACTTAGGTACAATTATGTACAATAGTAAGAGTAATATAATCCCCAGATCATGGGGAAAAGGATAGTTCCACTATACCGTGCGTTGTCCAGGTCACACGGAATTGGATGGTGCATTTTAGAAGGAATATTGGTAAATAGAAAGCACCCAAAGAAGACCTAGGATAGTTAATGGTTAGAAACTGCCATATGGGAGCCAAGAATGATTGAAAGAACTAGGGTTGTTTGGCTTAGAAAAGAGAAGGCTAAGGACTAGCATTAAAACTATTTTCAAATATTTGGAAGCTTGTCATAGAATAAGGGAAGAGATGTGCTATTATAAGAAAGAACATAAGAAAAAATATTGTACAAACTAGACTCTCCATAAGGTTTTCCTATGGAATCAACTGTGTCTGCCCTGAATGGCCAGAGACTAGATGACCCTGCTTCAAGGAAAAAGACTTTGTATTGAGTGTGACCTGGGACTAGATAATCTCTGAGGTTGGTTCTGGCAATAAAATTGTTAAAAATGCAATGCTTTTATTGTATCAGTGGTTCAGAATGACCATCTTGTCTTTTTTTTTTTTTTCCTTTTTTTAATTTTAATAGGAAAGCAATTCAGAGTTTTGTTTCTTAGCACAGTACGTACAAGGCATACTTGTAAACATAAACAGACACCAATTAAAAAGAAAGAGCAACTGCTGGAAGATTCCACGGAGGACTTAGACTATGGTTTTTTATCTAACTACAAGCTTCTCAACACTGCCATCACCAGAGCACAATCCCTAGTTGCTGTAGTGGGTGATCCCATTGCTTTGTGCTCTATTGGAAGATGCAGGTAATTATGTGTTACTAATTGAGACACTGAAGGGAGAAATTAATTTGCATCCCTATGTTTACATTTATCTATGTGACCTCTTGGTTAATTAAAATCAGGTTTAGTCTTACCTGATATCCAGTGGGAACACAAAAGTATATGGCTTTGGGTCTGTTCAGTCATTCATTCATCCATCTATCCATCCATTTGTTCATCATTCACCAGATATTTCCTGAGTGCCTATTATGTACTAAACTCCCTGAGGATATGTCAGTTAACAAAACAGACAAGAATCTCTGCTCTTGTGGGGCTTTTGTTTTAGGGTCGGGGCTGGTAAGGTAAGGAGATAGATTGACAGTAAACAAAATAAATAAATTATATAGTATTTTAGGAGGTAACTTCAATGGAAAAGAAATAGAACACTGTGAGGGTGATTAGGAGTGATGAGGGTGTGGTGGGCTGGTTTGTAGGCCTTACTGAGAAATTAGCATTGGAGGTGAGGGAGTGAGCTATGCTGATACATTAAGTGTCCCAGGAAGAGGAGAACAACTAGTGCAAGGCCCTGAGCTGGTTTTATGTGTGTATGTATCTTTGTTGGAGACTAGATTCTGTATAGATTTTTTTTTTTTTTTTTTTTTTTACTCTGTTGTTTATTTTGGCTCCGATTTTTGATGAATTTCCTTCTCTAGTCATTTTCTCTCAAGCTTTCTCTCTGTAAATAATTCTTTGTATTTAGTTAATCCAAAGGATCTTAAAGTCCTGGGAGATTAGGAGTGGTTGTTACCTGCCTTTCGATAGCATTGTCAGTATTCATCAGATTTTAGTTAGAATGAACTATTTTTACTGAAATGTGGTTAAAATAGAAGCATAAACAAAAAATTCTCATCATACACTTGTGACATTAATAAGAATTTTAACCTTATGAAGTTGGTATATTAAAAGACTTGGCCTTTATAGTATTGAAAAACTATGCAAGCATTAAAAACACACACATACAGTAGAACAGAAGTTTATAATGATGATACTTTAATGAAAAAGAAGGGCATACATTAGGGATTACTAAAAATTTTATAAGTATTCTAGTGCCTGTCAAAGTGAGTTCAGAGTTAGTAGAAAGAGTTGTAGACAGTCCCAGATATGCCCAAGGTAATTATTTCTTTTTGATATGTTAGAATTAAAGTAGACAAGGCTGATAGGAAGTGGCCCTCTTTAAACTAAGTTCTCTGTTGCAAAATAGACATGGCAGCATTTTATTGCCTGATTTCATGTGTCAGAAGAAAAATTATTGTGTTGGAAGGGAGACCGTTTGAGACCTTTAAGCTGCATGTATTAGAGCTTAAGACCTCTAAACAAAGTTAATCTTTTCTATAGGGGAAAGCCAGTAACAAACGAATCAAGTAGAGTTTTAATTTATAATTGCATTATGAAAAATAACCTTTCTTTATTGTTGTAGTTTAAGTGAAAGTTTACAATTCAAGTTAGTCTCTCATACAAAAATTTATACATGCATTGTTATGTGACCCTAATTGCTGTCCCTATACTGCAACAGCACATTCCTCCTTTCTACCACCGATTTCCTGTGTCCATTCAACCAGCTCCTGACCCTCTCTGCCTTCTTGTCTCACCTCCAGACAGAAGCTGCCCATTTAGTCTCATGTATCTACTTGAGCTTAGAAGCACTCTCTTCATGAGTATCATTTTATGTCCCATAGTCCAGTCCAATCTTTGTCTGAAGAGTTGGCCTTGTGAATTGTTTTAGTTCTGAGTAGATGGAGAGTCCGGGGGCTATGCTTTCTGGGGTTCCTCTGGTCCCAGTCAGACCATTAACTCTGGTCTTTTTGCTAGAATTTGAGTTCTTCATTCCACTCTTCTCCCGCTACATCAGGGACTCTCTGTTATGTTTCCTGTCTGGGTGGTCATTGGTGGTAGCCGAGCACCATCTAGTTCTTCTGGTCTCAGGCTGATGAAGTCTCTGGTTTATGTGGCCGTTTCTGTCTCTTGAGCTACTACTTTCCTTGTGTCTTTGGTGTTCTTCATTCTCCTTTACTCCAGGTGGTTGGGACCAATTGATGCATCTTAGATGGCCGCTTGCAAGCTTTTAAGACCCCAGATGCCACTCACTGAAGTAGGATGCAGAACATTTTCTTAATAAACTTTGTTATGCCAGCTGACCTAGATGTCCTCTTAAAGCATGGTCCCCAGACCCCCGCCTCTGCTGCTCTGTCCCTGGAAGTGTTTGACTGTATTCAGGAAACTTCTAAGCTTTGGTTTAGTCCTGTTGTGCTGACTTCCCCTGTAGTGTGTGTTGTCCTTTCCTTCACCTAAGATAAAACTTGTCCACTATCTAGTTAGTGAATAACACTCACCATCCCTCCCACCCTTGTAGCCATCAAGGAATGTTTTCTTCTGTATTTGAACCTTTTCTTGAGTTCTTATAATAGTGATCTTATACAATATTTGTCCTTCTGTGACTGACTAAATTCGCTCAGCATAACTCCATCCAGATTCCTTCATGTTATGTTTCACGGCTTCATCGTTTTTCTTTATCGTTGCGTAGTATTCCATTGTGTGGATATACCATAATTTATCCACTCGTCCGCTGATGGGTACCTAGGTTGTTTCCACCTTTTTGCTATTGTGAACAGTGCTGCAGTGAACATGGGTGTGCGTATATCTATTTGTGTGATGGCTCTTATTTCTCTAGGATATATTCCAAGGAGCGGGATTGCTGGATCATATGGTACTTCTATTTCTAGCTTTTTAAGGAAGTGCCAAATCGATTTCCAAAATGGTTGTACCATTTTACATTCCCACTAACAGTGTATAAGTGTTCCAGCCTCCCCACAACCTCTCCAGCATTTATTTTGTGTTTTTTGGATTAGTGCTAGCCTTGTTGGGGTGAGATGGTATCTCATTGTAGTTTTGATCTGCATTTCTCTGACGGCTTATGATCGTGAGCATTTCTTCAAGTGTCTGTTAGCTGCCTGAATGTCTTCTTTGCCAAAGTGCCTTTTCATATCCTTTGCCCCTTTTTTAATTGGGTTATTTGTCTTTTTGTTGTTGAGGTTTTGCAGTATCTTGTAGATTTTAGAGATTAGATGCTGATTGGATTTGTCATAGCCAAAATTTTTTTCCAAGTCTGTAGGTTGTCTTTTTACTCTCTTGGGGAAGTCTTTTGATGAGCATAAGTGTTTGATTTTTAGGCTCTCCCAGTTATCTAGTCTGTCTTCTGGTGCTTGTGCATTGTTACTTATGGTTTGTATTGTGTTTATGCCATGTATTAGGTCTCCTAGCGTCGTCCCTATTTTTTCTTCCATGATCTTTATCGTTTTTGATTTTATATTTAGGTCTTTGGTGCATTTTGAGTTAGTTTTTATGCATAGCGTGAGGTACGGGTGTTCTTTCAGTTTTTTGCAACCTTTTCTTTCTTAAGAAACAAATCTTAAAGGCCCGTGTCTTACTTTAGTATAGCTAAACAATTCTGTTGTAAAATGCTGTTCACTTCATATATTTACAATAGATTGCCATTCATTTTTAGCCACTAATGACAAAAAATTGGGGAGGAGAATATATTAATTCCAAATCACAACAGAATAGTATAGTAACGAGCCTACTAATTTGGCTCTTCTCCTGAGAATTTTACCTCTGTTGTTTTACTATTTTTTGAAAATGTATTTGATTAGAATATTGCTGTGGTATTATACCATTTTTGTTTATACTTATTATTTGATAAATGAGAGAGCACATACAGTTTGGTTAGAGTTTAATATATTAAGGCACATATAAAATAGGATGACATGCATTAGAAACAACCAGAGACTGCTGGAGGGATAAATAGGTATTAAGAGTAGTTTCGAGCCACATCGGTTTTGGACTCCTTGTAAATAACTCCAAACATTTACCAACCTGAACGTTTTTTTTAAAAACCATTACCCCTTTCTATGGATTCATATTATGCTGTGAATGAATACGATCAGCATTTTTTACTCCTTCTCTGACATAAACTGTTACTTTCTCAGAGCAAATAGATGAATATTCTTCCTGAGGTCATGCTGTTAGAATCATCCAGGGCTAAGTTTTAACCTCAAACCAGCTTTACTAGTAGTTTTTTCTTAATATTCAGCTAGGGTGTATCAAGGACTGCAAATTAATTTAAAACCTAAGCTAAGTATTTTCAGGGAGGGAAATACATTGCATAGGGAAAAATATCATTCGTCCTGTAGTTAAATGGGAATTTTAATTATCCATGTTAATTGGACAGTTTAATCATGGCTCCAAATCATGAGCTGATAATTGTAGTATATGGATATTTAAGCTTTAATCTTGCTAATTTCATTAGAAATTAATCTTATAATACAAGTAAACCCAGAGGACTTAATGTGATTTTTAGGTACTGTAAGAATGGAGGAATGAATTCCTTGTAGTTTAATTCATAAGACTTTATTTGATATTTACAAAAAACTGATATGATATTGCCAACCATCAATCAAGTTTTCAGGGAATAATTCCTGTGCATATAATACCAGATTAGAAGTCAGTCAGTTATATATTCTTTTTTTGTTTTACAGTATTTTTAAATAGAAATTTTCAGTTAACCTGAAATGAGTGTAGTGAACACTGTCCTTCCCAGACCAACAAATATTAATATAGTATTGATAGCTTTCTCGGTGCTTGCTGCTGGCTTAAGTGCTTGGCACACATTGCCTCATACAGTCATTTCAGCAACTCTGCACTGTGGGTGTTTTATTTGTATTTTAAGTGGGCAACCCAATACAGACAGGTTAAATTATTTTCTGGAGTCTCATAGCTAGTAAGTGGTTCACTCAAACAGATGTCAGATTGACTTCAAAACCTCTGCTCTTCTCTCTGGGTTACCCTGCCTTTCCCAGGAAGTGATGAATATACATGGATAAATCTGCATAGAAGGGGAGTTATATTTCTCCAAACCAACATGTTTGGAGAAGCTGAGCCTTCCCTTTAACTCAGTGAAATCTAAACATATTTCGTATATGTATAGTACACACACACCCTGTGGCCTGAGGACACCAACTGACTTTTTATTGTCAGTGTTTTATCAGTGATTCTGAAAGCAAGATTAACATAAAAACAAAACCAAACTTAGTGTTCTATAGTGGTCAAGGTCATATCCTTTAAAATATCTAAAATTATATTACAATGTAGAGACACAAATGTGTCCTCTGACCAACACTGCTTGAGAAAATTGTTAACATAACAATATATTAACATTTGAGGAGAGGATTGAGAATTAGTGAATCCTTTAAATAACTACAACGGTAAATTCTTATCTTCATTCTGAGTGTAGTTGAAACTCAGGTGATTTTCCTATAATAAGTGTTCAGAAATGCTTCATAGTCCCACATGTAGTACTTCAGTAACGTATCAGTGAATTAAGGGCTGCGTGAATAGGGTTTGAAAGAGCCTTCACTAAAAGACAAAAGGAAAATTTTTAGCTTCAAAGATAACAGTTTTTGAAGGAAAAAAATACTTTTAAAGTTTGGAAATGAGAAATCAACGTCGCTTCAATAGTAAAGTATAAAGGTAATAATAATACCTGTTGGTGTCCCATTTTACACATGAGGAAACAGAGGTACAAAGAGAGGTTCAGTGATCTATGTGAAGTCATACAGCTATTGAATGACAGAGCTAGGGCTGCAACCCCAGCAGTCTGGTTCTAGAGTCTGTGCTCTTGGCCGTTTTGCTATAGCGATCGAGCCATTGAAGACAAGTCAGATTTAAAATGTAAATTTCGGATTTGTTTTAGAACTTGTTTAACTTGAATAACTTCTGGTATTTAGTGTCAAGTGGTGTCCTCCTTCAGCACGGAGGCTATTCGTTTGAGATTTCTGGGAGCTTGTAGACCAAGACTGGCATTGAACTACCAGCTTCTTGTGAGGTTGTTTGAAGGTGCTGTTGAACAGAGTGTAACTTCAAATCCTGGTCAGCGCAGTCCAGGTCAGTGAGGGAGGTAGACGAGCAGGGTATGGGGTTGAAAAAGAAAATAGAGCGCGTTCTAGCATTTTGTCTATGTAAGCTGGAAATGAAAATATGTTATTAGGAATTGATATTACAGGTTGAGATAGATATAGTAAAAGCCAGTCTATTCTCTCCTTGCTGCTTTCCTCTGTCCCAAAGTTCAACACAAATAAAAAATGTCACTCAAACTGATGCTTAATCTATTAGAATAAAAAAAGTTTATTTGGTGCTCACTTCGGCAGCACATATACTAAAATTAGAACGATACAGAGAAGGAACTCAAGAAAAGGTTTAAAAAACAGAAGACAACATTCTTTGATGGCTACAAGGGTGGGGAGGGAGGTTATTTACTAACTAGATAGTAGACAAATTTTATCTTAGGTGAAGAGAAAGACAGCACACACTACAGGGAAAGTCAGCACAACTGGACTAAGCCAAAGCTAAGAAGTTTCCTGAATACAGTCAAACACTTTGAGGGACAGAGTAGCAGGGGTAGGGATCTGGGGACCATGCCTTCAGGGGATATCTAGGTCAGTTGACATAACAAAGCTTATTAAGAAAATGTTCTGCATCCTCCTTCAGTAAGTGGCATCTGGGGTCTTAAAAGCTTGCAAGCGGCCATCTAAGATGCATCAATTGGTCCCAACTACCTGGAGTACAGGAGAATGAAGAACACCAAAGACACAAGGAAAGTAGTAGCCCAAGAGACAGAAATGGCCACATAAACCAGAGACTCCATCAGCCTAAGACCAGAAGAACTAGATGGTGCTCGGCTACCACCAATGACCACCCAGACAGGGAACACAACAGAGAGTCCCTGATGGAGCAAGAGAAAGGCGGGGTGCAGAACTCAAATTCTAGTAAAAAGACCAGACTTAAAGGTCTGACTGAGACTGGAGGAACCCCAGAAAGCATGGCCCCAGGATTCTCTATCAGCCCAGAAATAAAACAATTTCCAAGGCCCACTCCTCAGACAGGAATTGGACTGGACTGTGGGACATAAAGGGATACTCGTGAGGAGTGTGCCTCTTAGCTCAAGTAGATACAAGAGACTAAACGGGCAGCTTCTGTCTGGAGGTGAGATGGGAAGGCAGAGAGGGTTAGGAGCTGGTTGAATGGACATGGGGAATCAGGGGTGGAAAGGAGGAGTGTGCTGTCACAGTATGGGGAGAGCAGTTAGGGTCTCATAACAACGTATGTATAAATTTTTGTATGGGAGACTAACTTGAAATGTAAACTTTATCTAAACTACAATAAAAAAAAAATTATTTGAATTTGTCATATAGTAGAATTGTGTCCGTAAGTATTTATACAATTGAGTACTGTGGCTATTTTTATCATAAAGGGAAAGTGTATGGATTTTAGATCCTAAGTGCTATATTAAAGATAATCCTTTCTCAGGTATCAGACTATGAGAAGAAATTGATTCCCTCAGGAGGGTTCTTAACCATAAAAATAAAGGACGGTTTTACAGTGCGTTTGTTAGCAATACATACTTCCTGTGACTGAACGCCTTTATGTCTTATGGTCAGAAATACATATTTAATATTTTGTAACATTTTTACTTTTCCTGTTGTTTACATATAGGATTAAAAACTTTTCTGGGCCATTTCTTAAGCTCATCTTTAAAAATTTAGAAAAGATGATAGAAGACATGTAAGAGAAACGTAGTTGGAAATTAAAATCTGCAAAGTTTTATGAATATATTAATAATCCAGTTCCCATTCATATACTAACTTTTATAATATAAACCTTTTCATTTATGCTTCTTGAAGCCATCTTGATTACCTGCTGTCCACCTGGACACAAGGATACCAACTTGGGAAGAAACCATATCACATATCTTTTATAGCATAATAAAACATTATTTGAACCTCATATTAAACATAGGTATGCATATTTATAATAGTCATTTAAGATTTAAAAACTTTTTATTTGTTGTCCTTTGTAATATGTATTTAATATTTTCAATATTTGAAGATCATTTTTCAAAACTTCCAGAACAACAGTGTATAATTGCAACAAGTTTTGAAATGTGTTTTTCTCCTTTAGTATTTATTAAATTGATTAGGAAATGAATAATCAGCATTAAAATTAGCCTTCCAATTTTCTATATTTTCCATAATGCATTTAACTCTTTTAACTCAGTCAATTAATGTTGTAAGTTGTGATTGTGACAAGCGTCTATTAAGTAAGAAAAAAATCTAGGGAGTAGCTAGTTATTTTTTAATGATCTTTATGAGGATTATCTACTTTTTGGCTCAAATTTATGTTGAGTTGGCTTTTCTTAGTCCTCCAGCACCCTTCCAGGATGACCTAGGCTACCTTGGCTCCATAATTCAGTTAATATATATATAAAAAAAAAGTATATATATACATATGCCTAGAGTATTCCTAGAAATATAAATCTTCCATAAAATGAGTTATCAGTTCAAATCCTTGCTTATTATATGAATAACAAAAAACATTATTCTGAATTAGCATGAATAGTTGAACATTGACAAAGTTAACTTGCTTTGATTAGCCGAAATTAATTGACAGCCTTGTTTGCGTGTACCACCATGCTAGACATGACTATCGTTTCAGAATCAAACTTCTGAAATCTTATGATCTGGTAGAAAGATTATACCTAAATCATAGGAAGATGAATGTTGAATTTAAGAATTTGGGGTAGGGGAAGTGGAGGGTAGGAAATTCAAAATTATCTTTAGTGGCTGATGTTCATTTCTGTAATCTTATCTACTGAAATCATAAACTAATGTTTTAAATCTTTTCTGTAGGAAATTTTGGGAGCGGTTTATTGCCCTGTGTCATGAAAATAATAGCCTACATGGAATCACTTTTGAACAGATTAAGGCTCAGTTAGAGGCTTTAGAACTAAAGAAGACATATGTGTTGAATCCACTGGCACCTGAATTTATTCCCCGTGCTCTAAGACTGCAGCATACAGGAAATACCAGCAAACAACAGCAATCACCACCCAAGGTAAAACCTCTGTTCATGAAATTGAAGAGGTTAAAGGGAAAGAAAGCACAGAAGTGTCAAAGGTTTACTGGGCTGCAAGTTACTCTAAGTATTGGAATTGAAGGTTACATTTGGTGGCAAGCACAGTTTCTGCAAGGAACTTGTTTAGATTTGGACATGTAAGTGAAAATGCATAGTGTTTAAACCCAAAACCAAACCCTTTGCCGTGGAGTCAGTTCTGACTTAATAGCAACCGTATGGGACAGAGTGGTAGAACTGCCCCATAGGGTTTCCAAGGAGCAGCTGGTAGATTTGAACTGCTGACCTTTTGGTTAGCAACCAAATGCTTAGCCACTGCGCCACCAGGGCACCTAAATAGTGTTTAGACATGTTTAATGTAATAATCACCCTCAAAAAGTTTTTAAATACCTAAATTCTTCTGGCATACTTCATATAACTTCCCAGTCCTCTCTGTCTACTAATAGAATGATTTTGGCAAGATGTGAATAAAACAGAACAGTTTTAAAGATTATCACATTTATTAAAAGCATGCTCTTAAAGCGTATTATTTATAAAGAATAATATTATAATAACAATATTTGTATAAAGAAAAGAATTCTAATTATTTATAATGGGTCTACGATGACCCATTCATTTTAAGTGATATTTGATGCAGTAAGAAAATTTGGCTGACTTCTTAAAGACTATTTTAATGGATTTTGACCTGTATTTGTTGTAAGAGAAGTAGTCTAGTCAGAAGGGGTGAAGGAGGGGGATCAAGGCCATTTCTACTTTTAAACCATAGTTATTTTCGACAGAGACAGCTGGTTTATTTGCTAGAGTGCCTGAAAAAAGGTGCTTGCACTTACCATCTAGAAAAGAAAGTTGTGAGAATGGCGTGTTTAATATTTGTTCTAGTTTTTTTGTGTATTTATAGCCATCAGCATGGTATTGTTTAGGGCTTCATTTTTGAAAATGTAAAACCTAATGTATATGAAATAACTAATGGTTTAATATTTTGAAATTTTTTTAGCTAAATAAGGTATTTTGCTGAGAAGAGAACTACTTTTCTGTGTAAATATACTGTTGTATATTCTTTGTTTGATAAAAATGAACCTAAATGTGCCACAATGCTTTAGGGATCTGGCATTATTAGGATTAGACATCCTGCATAAATGAAGGTACAAAATGTTAGGGGACCCAGGAGCAGGTCGTCCTTGCTAACCCTTTATCACCTTAGTCTGTAGCCATCATTTATAGCAAAGGACATGTTTCATGGGAGCCTGCAAAATTGACATGTTGATAACAAGTTGCCTGTCCTCATTCTGCTTAATCCTTGAGCATTGCTGGGGGCCATGTTTGGAAGTTTTGCTAAAATGGACGAGTTTCATCTGCATACACTATGAAAACTATTCAGAGGATCAACACTGTTCGGAGGTGAATTCTCTGAAAAGATCGTAGCATTTTAGATTTTGGTTTGTTGTTTGTTACCACTTATATATAGCTGCTAATGTTTTGTGTCACTTTTCACCAAAACCCATTGCTGTCGAGTCAATTCTGACTCATGGCGACCTTATAGGACAGAGTAGAACTGCCCCATAGGGTTTCCAGGGATTGGCTGGTGGATTCAAACTGCCCACCTTTTGGTTAGCAGCCAAGCTCTTAACCACTGTGCCACCAGGGCTCCTCTCACTTTCCAGTCATAAGAAAACATTGTTGGTCTTGTTCACCTCTGTAGTTTCAGTGACTGGCCAGAGGTGGGTATATGGAGAGCCCTCAGAAAACATTTGTTGAATGAATGAAAAATATTTGAATGAATAAATGGTTGAATAAAAAGATGGTCCTCAAAAAATAGATGTTCTTAACTACATTTGTATATAAAAATCTTTTCATTAGTTAGCATTCTCCCAAAGATAGACATACTTCTGATATTTATCAGTAAAAGTTTGGAGTTTTTTTTATGGGATTACTTTTACATATACTTAGCTCTAGCTTACTTGTATATTATTTATAAGCTACCAAACATGTGTATTTTCTATAGACCAAGTACACTTAACTGCTGTACATGCTAAGTCAAAAAACATTAGAGGATTGTATCCTATATTGAACTGTACAGATGCTGAATTAACTCTTGTAGGAATGCCACTTCTTTTGAAATGATAGGCCCCAGTTTGCTTTTTCATTTAGTATACTACATATACCCAGACTGCTAACAGATATTGTTTGACATGCTTCCAGCGTGATAGTATAGGGTTACCCTAGACTTGGTTGCTTTCTGTATTAGTTTCCTATTGCTGCTGTAACAAATTAGCGCAAACCTAGTGGCTTGAAACAATACATATTTACTATATCACAGTTCCATAGGTCGGAAGTCCAGTTGGCTTGGCTGGTTTCTCTGCCCTGGGTTTCACAAAGCCGAAATCAAGGTGTTGGCCGGCTGGGCTCTTGTCTGGAGGCTCTGGGAAGAATCTGCTTCCACCTCATGCAAGTTCTTGGCAGAATCCAATTCCTTGTAGTGGTAGGACTGAAGTTCCCCTTTTCCTTGCTAGTTGTCAGCTGAGGGTCATCCTTAGCGCCTAGAAGGCTCTCTGCAGTTCTTACACGTGGCCACCTGTATCTCAGAACCAGCAACAGCACACTGAATCCTTCTTTTGCTTGGAATCTCTCAGCCTTCCCCTCCTACCGCATCTCTTCATTCTTCCCCCATGTATCTCTGACTCTAGCCAGAGAAATTTCTCTGCTTTTAAAGGCTCATGTGATTATGTTGGGTCTAGCCAGGATAATCTTCCTATTAAGGTCTATCACCTTACTTTTATCTGCAAAGTCCCCTTTGCCATGTAAAAGAACATATTCACAGGTTCTAGAAATTAAGGCATGGACATTTTGGGGCGGGGGAGGGCATTCTGCCTACTATACACATTTTGACTAAATCGCTGTGTTTTCTCCATATGCTGCACAATTGCCCCTGGTTGATGGGTTGTTAGCAAGTTACTGTGATACATTTGGAGGCTAAGAAATCTAAATGGTTTGTTATCCTCTGGGAACTGTCGGTGTCACTGGCTCTCCTTTCTTCTGTCAGCGCATCTGCCACTGGCTGCTCTTGTTGTCACTTCTAATTGCTCATGCTTCTGATCTTCCCACCTACTTCTGCCATTTCTGATGTTTGCCATTTTCTCCTTTTCACTTTTTTTCCTTTCTTCTGCCAGCTTTTCTTATCTCTTTTCTATTTCTCAGAATTTTTTTTTTTTAATAACCAATGCCAGTCACTGTGAATGTTCTCTTCTGAGTAATAAACCAACAGTGATTCTTTTTGGCTATTACTTTTCTGACTTTTTTAGAGTTAAATCTTAACTGCCCTTGCTCACCCTTAACTAACCAACTGACCTCAAACCTTCAGTGTCCAAGGCAGATCTGAATATTTAAAGTTGCTGACAGATGAGTAGATAAATTAGTCATCACCATATTTTGCTTTGGTCAAGATGAATTTTTTTTTTCTGCTTTAAACATTATTCCCTCTTCACCTGTAATTATAAATAACAAATTTGTGCATCTAAGGGTAAGTTGCATAATGTGGTAGTTTTCTCAGTTGGTTTTGTGTGTGTTGCACTTAGCCAGTAGAAAGACAAAGACATTTTTTTGAAGTCCAGAAATTCAGAAGTCTTGGGGGAGAAGAATACTGGCTGTTTGAGGGAGAGAGATAAGAAAGTTGAGAGCGTATCTGCAATACAATTTTTACAATTTGTCTTCACATTTCTAAAGTTACTTTTTAAGACTAGGAATGCAGAATTTGATTTCCACATAAAATTATCTTGTTCTCAGTACATGTGAGAATGTGTGTATTTATACACACTATACATTGTAAATTCCTAAATAGCTTCTAATGAGATATGCAACCTAAAAATGTGAAAAAAAGGGAACACTGCTGATTATTAAATGTTATTTTTATTTTTTGATCAGTCTTTTAAAAAATGTTTTGTTACTTTATCCATAGCAGCAGCCATTAGTTTGTTCCTTACAGCCGTGTGCACACATATCAGTACCTTAATGTGGTCATACACAGCTGCCACCATCCCCTCAATCCTCCTTTATCCCTGTTCTTATGATGTGTTGTGGTTTAATAAGTAGTTCTTATGTGAATGTTTTAAGTAGGCACACCAGTATGTATCAGTTTTAAACTTTTACTAAAATTAATAAATACTACCTTTGTTAGTACTTCCTAAGTGCCTGACTTTGTACTAGGCGCTTGACGTTTGCCACACCTTATCTCAGTCTGTACAGCGGCCCTGCAGGATAGGTGCGACGATTGTGCAGTATGAAAGTGAGGAAGCTGAGTCTCAAGGAGATGAGGTGACTTGCCCAAGGCTAATAGCCAGTAAATGGTGAAGCTGAGATTCAGACTCAGATCTGCTCACCTTCAGAGTCAGTCCTTCTCCACTATATTTCTTCCCCCAGGGACACATTTTTTCCCTTCTCACTGGTAAATCTGGCTCATGATAATTTATAATACCTGTGAAATCCTATTGCATTAAGGTGGATGTTATTTGTGAGGTAAAGAGTCAGTCATATACTTTTTACTTTCTGTTACTGGTATCGTTAATTTATATTCCAGTGTACATTTTAAAATAGAAGAATATAATGTATCATTGTTATCTTTTTTTTTTTTTAATTTTTTGAGTGATAGCAAGACACGTTCCTCTTATACTTCGTTTAGTTAGCAACTGAGAAAATTAAAACAAGTCCATGAGAGCCAAAGTACAACCTTGAGTATCTTCCACCTGAATTTAGAGACCATCTCAAGAATAGATTTGACGCGTTGAACACTAATGACTGAAGACCAGACGAGTTGTGGAATGACATCAAGGACATCATGCATGAAGAAAACAAGAGGTAATTAAAAAGACAGTAAAGAAAGAAAAGACCAAAATGGATGGCAGAGGAGACTCTGAAACTTGCTCTTGAATGTAGAATAGCTAAAGCGAAAGGAAGAAATGATGAAGTAAAAGAGCTGAACGGAAGATTTC